CAAATATGAAGTCCCTTGGTGTAGCCTATATTTTTGAAGGGGTTGCTCCACCTGGCAGAGAGACATTTGCAAGGTGCCCAGCCTTCCTTTCTTCCTTTCTTTTTATTTCTCTTCCTCTTGCTCCCAGAAGGGCTGGGAATCATGGGCCCTGTCGTCTACACTTGGGCCCACCGCCCCAGACGCCCATAGGCCAGGAAGGGTCCTTCCGCTCCTTTTCCCAGAGGGAGCGGGGAGAGGAGGAGGATGCCTGCTGCTGCTAGGATGCACCGGTTGCCTAGCAACCCTGTTGTGGTAGCTGTGGTTGCTAGGCGCCAGAGAGAACTACGGCTCCCACAATGCCTCTCCTGAGATGTAGAGGGGGGAGTGGAGTAGAGAGAGAGAGAGAGAGAGGGAGAGAGAGGGAGAGGCTGGGGTTGCCATGGCTGCCCATACAAACAATATGGCCGCCCCCAGCCCTGCTGGCTAGGAAGGAGCGTGGCAGGCCCGGGGAAGAAGGCACCATGGCCCACGGTGACCTGGACGAGGAGAGTCTCAATGACCTCTACAGCTGGGTGGATGCCATCCCTCTCTCCCGCCCCAAGAGGAACATCACCCGCGACTTCAGCGATGGAGGTTTGGGGTTGGGGGGGAGGGAGGGAGGGGGCGTGAGTCTGGGAAGCAGCGATCCCCAACTGGGCGCCCTCCCAGAAATGGCCATTTTCCCTGCATCTTCCACTCCTCCCCCCACCATCTCTCCGGAGGGCGCCCAGTTGGGGACGGTTGCCCCCCCAACTGTTGCAGAAATCGGAGGCCCCCTGGAAACCCCCTCCCCTTTTAGCAGCCTGGTGAGGGGGGGGCTCTCCCCTTTCACCCCCTACCAATATCCAGTCAGGGGATGGAGTGGATTTTCCTTGGGGTAGAGAGCCCTGAGAAAGCAACTGTGCAGGAGGGGGAGGGGGTCTCGGGCAGGGGGCAGGGCCTGAAGCGATGGGAAAGACCCCCGTGGGACCCTCAGGAGTTCTTACAAGCTCCAGAAACTCCGCAGGTCACTGCACTGAAAGAACTCGACAGGGTCTCCCAAACTTGCTTTATGGACTTCAACTCCTAGAATTCCCCAGTGGGCTTTGCCATTGCTGAGAATTCTGGGAGTTGAAGTCCACTCATGGAGTTGAGGAGTGTTGAATGAGGACAAAGGGAGGGTGGGAATGCAGTAGTCCTCGACTTACGACCACAATGGAGCCCAAATTTCCTCTTGTTAAGGGAGGCATTTGTTTAAGTGACTTTTGCCCCATTTTACGGGCTTTCTTGCCTCGGTTGTTAAGTGAACCACTGCAGTCAATGGGTTACTAATCCGGTCGTTATGTGAATCCAGCTTAAAACCCACCCCCCCATTGTCTTTGCTTTGTCAGAAGGTCGCAAAAGGGGATCACGTGACCTTGGGACACTGGGACCAGTTGCCAAGCTTTTTAATTTTCATCACCTGACCACGGGGAGGCTGCAATGGTCGTAAGTGTGAAACACGGTCGTAAATCACTTTTTTCAGGCCTGTTGTAACTTTGAACGGTCACTAAATGAACTGTATAGGTATGTGTTGATTTACAACAGTTCATTTAGTGACTTATTGAAGTTACAACAACCCTGATAACAATGATTTATGACCGTTTTTCACACTTACAACCATTGCATCATTGTTGTGGTTCGCTGGCAGCCTGTGCAGATGGCAACAGAATTGGACAGTGGGGAAGAACAGGGACCAGTCCGGGAGTCTGGAGGGGACTCGGACGAGGCAGAGATAGGGCCAGGGCCATCTGGGAGTGGGGTGCTGCCTTCGGAGCCTCCGGAGTCTGGCAGCAGCGAAGCTGAGGAACAAGGGGAGCCTGTTCACTGTGCGTGTGTGCGCAGGGCTGCTAGAAGACCAGCTGAGACAAAAGGGGCGATTTGGGAGTAAGGCTTGGAGCTGATTGCCCCTCCCATAAGATATAAAGGACAGGCAAAGGTGACGAAACCTTTGCAGGAAGCAACGTCGTTCCCTCTGATTGGATTAATCCTTAAAGCTCTATGTGGACTTTGTACTTCGGTTGGTTTTTTATAATTCATTTGGCGCTCTAGTTGTTGGCAGCAATTCAAAGGAGAGAAAGGTGGGTGCTTATCTCGAAGGGATGGTTTGAGACTCATTACCGGCTGGGAATGAAAATAATTCCCAGCATGGAAATAAAACAAGAATTGTTTTAACTAAGCGTGTGCTTAATTATGGTCTCGGGAAGCCTTGGTCAGAACAATCATCCCTATGGTCACATGATCAACATTCAGACATGGACTCATATTTATGACCGTTGCAGTGTCCCCAGATCACGTCATCGCTTCTCATGAGCCAAGTCAGTGGGGAAGCCAGATTCACTTAACAACCGTGTTCCTAACTGAATGACTGCAGCGATTCCCTTAACAACGATGGCAAGACATGTTGTAAAATGGAGCAAAGTTGACTTAACAACTGTCTCACTCAGCAAGCATAAATTGGGCGGATTCCATTCCAGTTGTATGTCAAGGACTTCCTTCTTTTTATTGCCCATCCAGTTCTGGTGGCCGAGGTGGTGAAGTTTTATTTTCCCAAAATGGTGGAAATGCACAATTATGCTCCAGCTAATTCCACCCAACAGAAGCTCTCCAACTGGGGACACCTGAACAGGTGAGTAGTTTACAGGTAAAGCCAGCTGTTGTGGTTCGCCGGCAGCCTGTGCAGACGGCAGTGGAATCATACAGTGGGGAAGAACGGGGACCAGTCCAGAAGTCTGGAGAGGACTCAGATGAGGATCTTGCATCCGATGCAGAAATGGGGCCAGGATCATTTGGGAGTGGGGTGCTGCCTTCGGAGTCTGGCAGCAGCGAGGCAGAGGAACAAGGGGAGCCTGTTCCCAGTGCGCGTGTGCGCAGAGCTGCTAGAAGGCAAGAGCAGATGAAACAAAAGGGGGCGATTTGGGAGTAAGGCTGGGAGGTGATTGCTCCTTCCATAAGGTGTAAAGGACAGGCAAAGATGACAAAACCTTTGCAGGAAGCAAAGTCGTTCGTTTGCTTCAGATTCATTCTTGAAGCTCTTTGTACTTCGGTTGGTTTCTTTTCTAGTTCATTTGATACTTCTGTTACTGGCAGCACTTCCCAAGAAAGAATGGTGGGTGCTTATCTCGAGGGACTGTTTGAGATTCATTGCCAACTGGGAATGAAAATAATTCCTAGCATTGCAATAAAACAAGACTTGTTTTTAAAATAAGCCTGTGTGTAATTACGGTCCCTGAAGCCTTGGTGAGAATACTAGTGTTCACCCTAGTTTGATGGAGATTGGCTGTTGTCCCTGGGGACCTGCCTTGCCAACAATGTGTGTAACCCTCTTCTCTGTGTGAATATTGATATGAGTATTCATTATTCACACTCAGGTAGTCCTTAGTTTTGTATGTATAAAATGAGTACGTATGTAAACGCAGGTCCTCAGGTTCTTTCAGCAAGGCTGAATAATACTCCAGTTTATAAAATAGTATTGACTAGATTTGAAAATGTGAGTGTATATATATATATATATATATATATATATATATATATATATATATATATGTGTGTGTGTGTGTGTGTGTGTGTGTGTGTGTGTGTGTATGTATATGTATATGTATATGTATATATATGTATGTATATATATATATTTATTTATTTTCTGAGGTTTTCATGGGTATTTGTATGTGGATCTTTGGTTATTCGGGTTTTCTCCCACATAAAATTGGAAGTATCTAGGCGACGTTTTGACGAAATCTCATTCATCATCTTCAGGCTTGTGTCTTCGGCTTTGTGCTTCTTGGAGTAATGTTTTTACTTTACATTACTCCAAGAAGCACAAAAAGCTGAAGACACAAGCCTGAAAATGACGAATGAGATTTCATCGAAACTTCGCCAAAATACTTCCAATTTTATGCGGGAGAAAACCCAAATAACCAAAGATAGATAGATAGATAGATAGATAGATAGATAGATAGATAGATAGATAGAT